TTCTTCCTCTTCCTCTTCCTTTTCCCAATACTCCTTCTCTCCTTCTTCCTCCTCCACTTCTTTTTTTGAGACAAGGTTTATGTAGCCCTGGTTGACTTTAAACTCACTATATAGAACCAGGCTGGTCTTCAACTCCCAAATATCCATCTGCCTTTGCCTCCTGAATGCACAGATAAAGGTGTCCACCCCCATGCCCAGCTTCCCCAATATTTCTTACTGAAAGCTTGCTTGCCCACCTTCACGTGGACAAACACACAATGCATGTGCACACACACCATATATTTTTAATAATTAAATATTTCTCTAGAACAGTTGCAGCAATGTTTTTTTAAATGAAAACAGTATTTCCCAACCCATTGCCACCACCCCATAGCCTCACATGTGTAAACAGTGCTCATAAATGGCTAGGATGCTCATGGTGTACATGTTCATTTCAGTAAGAAAACCTTGAGTAAGATTATCATTTAAACGTATGTGTGCTCATGTGTGTATGTTATATGTAGATAATGTGGGGACGTGTGTTGGTGGACTTGAATGCATGTGCACATGGAGGCCAGATGTTGACATAAGTTTCTTTTTCTCAGCTGCTCTCTGCCTTATTCTTTGAGACAGGGTCTCTCACTGATTGCCCAGACTGGCTGGACAGTGAGTCTCAGGGACCTGCCTCTCCCCCCACCTCCCCAGTCCTTGTGTAAACATTCTTATGACTTTAAATTAGAACAATTTAAAATCCCCAAGCTATACATCTAGTGATCCCACCTCTGGGATAGTGTGATGTGGGTGGTTATGACAGGTACTTTTCCATCTGTGTTGTCACTGCTGGGTGAGTGAGGCCACTGGGGTGTAATAGTTTATTACGTGTGTTAGGAGAGTTTTGATTGTGCCATTTAGAATGGTTGCCATTCTTGGCCACTGCTCAGTGTGGACTCAGAATAGACCATGTCCAAGAGTGAGAAGAACAGAGAACTATACATTTTAAGTGTAAGCTAAATAGAAGAAAAAGAAATGAAGACTCTTACATTTGTCTCCAGAAGCTCTTTAAGACCCACAGATTATGGTCTCCATATCAAAAATGGCATATTGAGTTCTTTCTGTTTTAAAAAGTTATGTTTCAAAGAGAAAACAGAGCAGTGGCAGAACCTAAGGTCACTTTCCATCCTTTGCAGATACTGTCCTCATCCTTTCTGTCTACAGCGTGTGTGTGGGTGACCAAAGATACTAGGAATGGAACAGGGCCTAGAACGTACCAGGCAAGGGTTCTACTGCTAAGTCACACCCCAGCCCCTCAGTGGGGAATTCTAGGCAGGTGCTCCACCACTGAGCCACACCCCAGCCCCTCACTGGGGGATTCTAGGCAGGCACTCTATCAACTGAGGTACATCACTAGCCCTGTTTTGACTTTTGATTTTCTGATAATGATCACTGATTTGCCCAGACTGCCTTTGAATTCACTCTGGTCTTGAATTTGCCATCCTCCTGCCTCAGCCTTCTGAGAAGCTGGGTTGATGGGTCTGAGCTACCAGGTCTGGCTGCTGTTCCTTTCTCTTCCATTTTCTTTATTTTCGACGTTTGTTAATCTGGATGACATGCTCTGCCTCCTCCACCATTGGTCAGGCTCTCTCAATCATAGCCTACAAGTCAAGCCTCTTATAGCAGTACTAGAACCATTTGAAATTGTGCTTTCATTTGCTATTGTTCTGTTTTCCAGATGAGTTTTTCTTCCATGATTTCAGTCTCTCTCCCCAGTCATCTTCAAAGTTTGTGTTATATCCTTCACTGTGAACATTGAGAGTTACTGTGTAGGTTTTTTGATCTTCTGTTTTCAATTATGTGTACATATGTGTCTGTGCATGGGTTTGTGTGTGTACGAGAGGTGCTTGCAGAGGCCAGAGGGCAGAGTTGGATCTCTTAGAGCTGCTTGATGTGGGTACTGGAACCAAACTTAGGTCCTCTGCAAGGGCAGCAAGTGTTCTCTACTGCTGAACCATCTCTCCAGCCCTTCCTTCTCTGGCCTGAATCACACACACACACACACACACACACACACACACACACACACACACACACACACACACACAGCCATTCTTTTGTCACTTGCCACTAGTGTCCATGATTTAGCCACACCAAAACAGCCAGAAGATCCTGGATATGGATGACTCATTTCTTCTTTGCTTAAAATACTTTTGCCCTCTCTGGATATTCTGAGTTTCTGTCCATTCCCAGTTTATAGCACTATCCCTCAGAAATGTTTACCAATAGAAATCTGCAGACTGCCTCAAGTTCTCCCCAGTTCTGGAGCAAACCTTTGTAATAGCACCATAATCCCAGCACTTGGGAGGCAGACGCAGGCAGATCTCTGTGAGTTTGAAGCCAGTCTGGTCTACAGAGTCAGTTCCAGGACAAGCTCCAAAGAGAAACCTGTCTTGACCCCCCTCCCCGCAAAATTGCACCCATCTTAAGTTTTCTCATTTTCATACACATTTACCTTTCACTCCTTAAATTCTGGAACTTTCCTGTATTAAATTTGTCCACCTTTGACCTCTCTAGCCAGTTTAATCAGACTATGGGTGTGTATTAGTCAGCTACTGTATAACAAGCCATTCCAAACCCACAGGCATATAACAGCAATTATTTTCTTGAGGCTCACATGTCTGCTGGTTGGCTGGGGCTTGTAACAACTGAATTTGTCTCCAGGCGGGCTCAGTTCAAGTTTGCTATGAATTTTTCTGAGATAAGCAGGATCTGAGGGAATATTCTTTTCATGACAATTATCCAAGTGCAAGAATGCAAACTCAACCAGATGGACACATCACACAACAGTTCCAGGTCATGGTCTATTATGGAGGAAGTCAAGGTGAAAAATTGAGCAGCTAATCAGATCACCTCCATAGTCAACAGCAGAGAGAATCAAGCACATCAATGCTACCTGCTTGCTCTCTCAGTCAGCTTTCTTTAGTGTTAACAGTTCAGGAGGCTCAATAGTCAAGACAGTCCTGTGTGGACATGTCCATTGGCCAACCTGACCTGGATAATTCCTTAGTTGAGACTTTCTTTCCAAGTGATTCTCAGTGGTTACATGTTGACAGTTCAAACTCACCATTCATCTATTAACAACCCATTGGCCAAAATGTGACATGTAGTCAACCCCAAAACCAAATGGTAAGGGAAATACACAGGCTACCAAGTGTGTAGAGGAGCATTTCACACCACTGACTCAGTCCTTTCCAAGGTATTTGGGAAATCAATAAAAATGAAATAGTCAAGAGATTTCTGGAAGTTCTTCCCCAATTGCATAGAATTTAATAACTGGAACTTTAAATATTTGTGTGACAAAGACTTTAGAGTATAAAGTTAATATGTGGCTGAGTCACTGAGGGCTCAGGGGCCTTGGCTCCCTGTGTGGCAGAAACTGTAGGACAACAAAGTCTAGTGTCAGGTGATGAGGGTTATTGGAGGCAATGCCTTGGACAGCATGTCTCTTGGGATCCTGGTTAGTCTCTGGAGAGACCTAACCATGCACTCACTTGACTTCTCCTGAAAACAGCTGGTTTTCTTCCTTCTCCTTTTCAGAGGACAAACTGATTGGGCAGACCAACCATAGACTTACAGCCCTTAAACCGCTGAGCTCAGCAAATCTGTTTTCCTTATAAAGTATCTACCCTTGGGTATTTTGTTACAGCAATGAAAACAGCTTAATACAGGGAGGCTGCTATATCCCTAGCATACCCCGCTCTGGCTTGTATCTCTCTCTCTCTCTCTCTCTCTCTCTCTCTCTCTCTCTCTCTCTCTCTCTCTCTCTCTCTCTCTCTCTCCCTTTCTCACTCTGTGTGTGTGTGAGAGAGAGAGAGAATGAGAGAGAGAGAGACAGAGAGAGAGAGAGAGAGAGACTGATGTGTGTTCATCAGTCACTCTCCACCTTGTTTTTTGAGACAGGGTCTCTCACTGAGTCTGGCTTTTGCTGGTTTAGTTAGATTGGCTGGCCAGTGAGTCCCTAGAATTAGGCCCAGTACTGGGGTAACAGGCTCACATTAACATACTTGGGGATTCAAATAATGTCCCCCTGATGGCATGGGAACTCTTTACTAACTGCATCGTTGTTCAGCCCTACCCCCTGGCTCAGTTTCTCATGAACCATGACTCATTGACTCTTGGTCAAGCTGTAGGGTGGAGACCAGAGCCTGGGGACAGACTCAGGCCATCCTCCACTGTACTCGCTAGCTGTGGCATGGCGGTGCCAGCCAGCTACATCCGGGTAAGACCCACCTCCATTCCCACTCCAACTTTCTCTACTGCTGCTTCCCTTGGGCCTGTAAAGGGAGTGAAGGCAGGAGCCGTATCAAATTCTCACAGGCCATCTCATTTTATTAGGCTGTCGCTGTAAGATGGGTTTTGGCATCTGTGTGGGAATTATTAGCAAAGCGGGTGGAGGAACAAATATTTTGGCTCATTATTGTTCCTTTATTAATGTTTGTTCTTTTGATTATTTGTGGGATCCTATTAAAGGGAACCAAGGAGGATGAGGCTCTCTTCAGGTTCCTGTTCATAGACGTTAATCTCAGATATTCTTTTTCTGCAATGAGATTTTTTTCAAGGTTCATTTTTATAGTTGGGTTGGTACAGTACTTGCCTTCATAATTTTTAGAGAATCACGGGTTGGGAATACTATTCATAAATATTTATTTCCTGAACAGTTTAATTCTTGTGCTTAAAATGTTGGGGGGGGGAACTGGAGGGGAATAGATTTTCATTACGTGGCAGAAAAGTTGAATAATTGAGTTGGCACTTTGGAAAATCTTCTGGAGAATTAAAGAGAGTTAAGGGGTGTCTGAGGTGCAGTTAAAAAACCTGACTCACCACAGGGAGGAGGAGGAAAGCCAGGAAGGACCAGGAAAGCATTTTGAGCAATGGGAGATCTTGATCGTTATAACTCACAGATTGCTACTGCATGGACTAGAGTTATCAATTACTCATTGTTGTATGAACTTTTCCTAGGGAGACATGAACAAATGTCCCTTTCACCCCAGACGGGCCAATGATGAAAGACCAAAGCAATGATGCCACAAAAATCCAACTTGAGCTTCCTTACAGAGCCTGGGTGAGAGGTAACTGACAGTCAGCAAAGTTGCTGCCTCACGGCAAAGTCCCATCCTAGCATCACTGAAACCTCATGGAAGCTGCAACATGGAGTCCCCCTTTCAGTCCACATTCCATGTCCTGCGTACCTGCCATCTCCCAAAACCACTTGCAGCTGTGAGAGGGCGGGAGGAAGTAATGCTGGACTCCCAGGTGAGCGGCTCTGACCCTCCCCTTCCTTTGCTACCATTACCATAGACCTGGCTGCCTCTGTTATCTTTCTGCTTATTTTGTTGCCATGGCTACTGAGCCAAGGTAATCTCTACTTTAATATGGCAATGGTTATATCATGCCATATGATCACATAATAGACAGCCATATTGCTAATTGCCATGACAGGATGTCCCCTGGGCCAGTGTGGCTCAAAGTTATTCAGTGTCGGAGGGCACTATTCCAAAGCATGTGTACAAAAGATGAGGTTTGGCTGAGAAATGTTTCATTATGACCCATTTTTATAATAACCCCAGAGACTGTTTCAAAGTGATGTGACTCAGCTCCATGGTTTAGATACAATGACAGTGTTTGTCAAGCAATTTGAGGGTCCCAAGTTTCTCTTCATTGGCACTGTGGACATTCTTGGCCAGGTGCACTGTGGGATTCTGGGCAGCATCCATGCTCTATAACCAACAGACACCATGTGACAACCCAAAATGTCTAAGGACAGTGCCAAATCGTCCCTTGAGTGGGGAAAAATTGTTCCTCATTGAGTACCACTCGCTGTTTTAGTTCAATCTGAAAATGATTGTGTGGTCAGTAATCAGGGAGATGCAAATTAGAACAGAATTAAGCACGATTTCCTCATTGCATTTGCAGAAACATAAAACCAGACCATGCTGGATGTTGGTATCCCTGCAGGGTGATGGCTTGTTCCAGCAGGTGAAGAGCATTTAGGAAGAGGGATTTGGGGAAACAGTTGGTGCATTCTATTCAAAGTAACAATGCTCATGTCCAATGAGTCAGAGCACTTCATGTCCAACAAGTGGAGCACTTCTCAGGATTGGCTCAGGAGGGAAGAAACGCACTGTTGTGAGGGGAAGACTTTGAACTGCGTGCTCTTTGCAATGACTGGGAGTGGCGGGACATGGTGCAGCCTTACATGCAAAGCAGCCGCCGCAAAATGGACACATGTATATAGCTGACTGACACGAAATGACATCAATAAATGCACTAATTAAAATCAATGATTGTTTTATTACTGTCTATTAATTAACAACAAGAAAATTACCTAGGATTTGATTGCTTAAATAGCTGTACTTATGTTTTCAACTCCCACACAGGGTGGTAACCACCCTGAGAGAAATGTTGATTTTTCTAAAGAGATTTGTACCCTTCCCTTTGGCTATATTGATATTGAGGAAAGTAGGGGCCCTCGAGAGTGACAGACTCTTTATTGTTGCATGTGGGCAACAAATAGCTCAGGGGGGTGGAAAAGCAACCACCACCAAAGCCGCGTTTGACCCTTGTCTTTACCTTGTGAACATGAAAAGTGAATTTCAGGACCACAGACAGGAGTGTTTAGAAGGAGTTGACTACAGGTGAGAGGTTAAGAGACAAGAAGCAAGCTGAGCTCCCATACAGCTGGAGTAAGTCTCAAGCATGGGTTCCCACTGAGGGTCCCTGTGATGGTTAGCTTTAAGTGTCACCTGACACAACATACAATCAATCGCCTGGAAGAGAGTCTTTATGAGGGACAGTGTATGTTGGGTTTGGCCTGTTGGCTTGTGTGTGTGGGTTTTCCTTAATTCAAATTAATTGATGCAGGAAGACCCAGTGCACCTTGGGTGGCACCAACCCTAGGTAGGGGATCCTGAACTTTATAGAGAATTGAGCTGAGCATGATCAAACAAGCAAGCATACTCACATTTCTCTCTGTTCTCGACTGTGGATGTGATGTTGCAAGCTGTGTGAAGTTCCCGCCTTGACTTCCCCACACGGAGGGACTGGAACTGGAAACTGAGAGCTTAAGCCAACCCTTTCTCCCCTAAGCTGCTCTCTGCCAGGGTGTTATATCACAGCAACAGAAGAAGGAGCTGGAACGGCCCTCATCTAGAGTTAGGAACGCTTTGCTGGACAGAGGCAGGAGCATGGAAGGGGTGAGTGGTCAGTCCAGTTGTTCCAGTCGTGGGGTGTTCATTCAGCTGGGTGTCCGTCATAGATCCCAGTAACGCTCCCAGAGAGTGGAACTCATTTAGGATGTGTGAAAAGACAGGAAACCGAACAGGAGCCAGAACGCTAGACACTTCTCACATCACTGGCCTCTGGTCAGGACAGAACCAGGGGAATTTTCAGCCTCTGGTCCCAGACAAGGGTTGCCTTCAAGACTGTCTTGTTTTTGAGGTCCACCTTTCCCTAAACTGCCTGACCAGTTTCTGTGTCTCATGACTATTAGGCTATTGAAGCCATAGATCTAAGAAAGGAACGTTTCTCACAGGAAGAGTCCACACAGTCCAGATGATTTGTTAGAGCACCTTGCAGGGGATCCTGAAGATGACACATGATGGGCTAGTGATTGGCAGGACCACACCTTGATGGGAACTGCTTAGATACACAGACCTCTTGTCTCAGGACCCCAAAGACAGCCTTGAGGGTTGGGGGTGGGTGGGTCACCAGACTTCTATTTGTGTCAATGTGCCTTCATTGAGTACATCTCCATTTTTTCCCTTTTCCTTATTGTCTCTGTAAGTGGCCTATTGAAAATGCATGCTGGATCTAGACTGTTTGACTTGGGTCCTAACACCTCTGGCAAGGACAGGTATTTTCTTCAGTTACACACAGGCATGCAATGCTACCTCCAGCTGTTTCTCCATTCTTTGTTCTCACTTAAGGGCTAGAGAATGCCCTTTAGACTCTGTCCCAACTGTAGGCACAGCCACCCCTTGACTGTAGCCGACTCTCCTGAAGTAATCACCTGATGAGGGACAGATGCTGCCCCCTGTTTTCATACGTTTCTGCCATCACATCACACACATGGACTGGGAGCACAGGGCAGAAAGAAGTCTGTGCCCTTCATGGCCAGTGGGAGGAGGCAGGGAGGAGCTGGGATGCCAATATCCCCTTCAGGGTACACTTCCACAGACCTAAATGTCCCCCGCTAAGCCCCACTTCTTAAAAATTCTCCCCACTCCTCACAGCTGGGGAACAGGATTCCACACAACCTCGGTGGAATGTACTAGCCCTGGCTCTCATGCCCACACAACCTCAGTGGAATGTGCTAGTCCTGGCTCTCATGCCCTTTCTGGTGTTGCCCCTACATTGAATTCTTGTCTTTTCTAGTTTCCTTTCCATATTGTGATAAAACACCCCGACAACAAGCAGCTTATGGACGAAAGGGCTAATTTTAGCTCCCAATTGCAGGTTATGGTCCATCACTGAGGGGAAGTCACAGCAGGGCCTGAGACAGCTGGCCAGTCACATCACATCCGCAGTCAAGAGCAGAGAGAAACGCATGCAGGCAGGCATGCTCAACTGCTTGCTTGTGCCGATTCTATCTCTCCATTCTTGTACAGTTCAGACCTCCTGCCTAGGAGTTGGTGCCACCTATAGTGGGCTGGGTCTTCCCAAGTCAATGATCTTGATTAAGACAATCCTTCAACGATGTCTTCTCAGACCAACCCAGTGTATACAATCCCTACTCAAAGACATCTTCCCAAGTGATTGTAGATTGTGTCAAGTTGACGGTTAAAGCTAACCTTGCACAGTCTGACTTGGCTCCTGTCCTTCTCCATTGCGGTTTCTCACATTGCATCGATCACTGTTAACACATCTTTGCATCATTAGCATCTGACTCTTTGGAGGCCCCAAGCTCCAGTGAGCCAGGTACCAAGTCCATTTGCGTTGATGTCAGATCTACAGCACCCAGCACAGCACCTGGCATAGAGTGGTGCTTGATAAATATCAATACCGTTAATTAATATTAATGAAAATGCTAAATGGCTTCCAACACACCTGGGGTGTGTATCGATACTCTAAATGGATGCAAAATTAGTCCTGATGGCTTTCCTCCTCTGAGCAGAGGCAGGTTTCAGATAGAAATGCATATGGAGAATAAGCTGTCATTGGATGCACTTGGGGGACTGTGTGTGTGTGTTTGTGTATATGTGTGCATACATGTGAGTTTTTCTCTCTGTGTGCATATATGTGTGTTTGTGTATATATTTGTGTGTGCATATATTTGTGTGTTTCTCTTTCTGTGTGCATGCGTTTGTGTATGTGTGTGCATATATGTGGGTGTTTCTGTGTGTGTGTGTGCTGTGTACATATGTGAAGGTCAGAAATACTCTGTCACACTCTGCTTTTTCCCTTGGGACAAGATCTCTCCCTAAACCTGGAGTTAGGTCAGCAGCCCACAAGTGGCAGCCATCCTCCTGTCTCAATTGTCTCACCCCCCCAGTGCTTGGGTTACAGGGGACAGGCCCACCTGCCTCTGCTTTTAGTGTGGATAGTGGAGACTGGAACTCAAGGCCTCACATTCTGCAGCAAGCGCTCTTACTCACAGAGGCAGTTCGCCAGCCCCGAGCTCTTGGCTTTTGAAGTCATTGAACTCTCAGGGTCATTTGTTACTGTGTGTGGCACAAACCTTGCCTATCTTTGGGAGTGTGCAGCTAAGGATACAAATGTTCCGAGTGGCCTTTCACAGTTGTTATCTCCGTCCAAACTAGGAAGAAAAATAGTGCTGCTCTCAGTGGTAACCGATCAGCTGAATTCTCCCAAGCAGAAGGTCTCTACACACAGCAGATAAGACCAGAAAAAATGACAACCGTTTTAGCAAAATGAAACATCTTCATATTTCAAAACCCAGAGCTGCAGACAAGGGATTCTGATGACCACCGACTGCAAATGTAGAACATGATGAGAAAGATCGCCAATTTTCAGTAAAATATTTTCCCACTTGTTTGTTAAAAAATTGTTTACTGAGCACCTATTCTGTACCTGGCATTTCTCTGTGTGATTTATCGGGGAAGGAAGGGAGTGGAAATTCCCATGGGCCTCGTGTTTACATCCAAGGGAGATGCATGTGATAGATGATAAACACAGCACACAGATAAGGGGACAACATTAGAGAAGGTTGGAAGTGAAGAAAAAATACACATCTGGGTGTTAAACCGTGTAGGAGAAAGCTAGGCCAGAAATGTTGAGAAGGATGCTGTTCTTCCAAATGGAGGTCTCTTATCGAAAAAGTGGCTTTTGAGCAAAAATGTGAGAGAGAGAGAGAGAGAGAGAGAGAGAGAGAGAGAGAGAGAGAGAGAGAGAGAGAGAGAGAGAGAGATGCAGTAATCAAGGAAGGGAAATATTGCCTGTGCAAAAGCTCTGGTGCGGGGACAAGCCTGGTGTTGCACAGAAATATTCTCTGAACTGATCTTGAGCTTTTTTTTCTCCTTAAGACTCAGGAAATGGACAACTCACAAGTCCCAGAAAGTCCTGAAAGTTACAGGATTACAAAGCTTTACGGCTCCCAGGTTGTATCAGTAGTAAGGACCGTCTGGGTAAGGCCTAGTCTGCTGACCTGCTTGCAAGTCCTGCAGAGGTTCCAGGGCTCCATTCTTCATAAATCATCAGACAAGCCAGTGTGGGCCATTTGGAGATGCAGCTCCTTTGGAGTCATCTCTAATTCTGTGACCCCATCAACCACACTCCTATGGTGACATTAGTCATGCAAACTTGGACTAGTAGAATTGCTTCTCTGGTCTATCATTGGCTCTATATCTGGGGTGAGATGTTTGTTCACATTTACCCAGAAAAAGTCACACACTACCATGGGTGTTTGAAGAACAGTGGAGGATGGACCGTCTGGGTGTGTGAAACTCATGAATGAGAAAAGCAGAGAAGAGAGAAGAGTGTACATGTATGTAGGTGTGCATGTGCACATCTGTCAATGCATGTGTATACACTTGTGTATATGTGTGTACGTATGTACATGTGTGAGAGTCTGTGTGTATAGGTGTGTGTGCGCATATATATGTGTGTGTTTTTATATGTGTGCATGTGCGTACATGTGTGTACATTCATGTTGAGGCCAGAGGTCAACCTTGGGTGTTGTTCCTCAAGAGCTTTTTTAAAGGTCAGATTGGCCATGTATTTATTATAAAAGTATTTCAATTTTGCTTTAAGATATTTTCATAATAAAGTTCTAAGAGACTGCAGTGTGCAGAATTAGTGATGAGACCAGTAAAGACATTTAGAA